CGAGGTGCGCTTCGAGGAGCGCGTCGAGGCACGCGCTCCCCGGCCTCCTCGGGCTCCGCGTGTGCCTTTACCGCTGCGTCCGCCGGCGCGTCCGCGCTGGCCTCTGCCGGCGCCTCGACCTCCACGAGCTCCTGTGGCGCTGCCGGAAGAAGACTGACTTGTGCCGTCCTGATCTTCGCGCGGGCCCGCCTCCGTGGCCGCGGCTGCGCCATCGTCCATCGACGCTGCAGTGTCCGGAGCGATGTCGGTGGGCTCGGCTCCAAGGACCGGGTCCGCCGGAAGGCGGTCGAGGGCGCCCGTCGGGGGAGGAACTCGGCCGGTCCTAAGCCCGTCGTTGACGGTGCCGTCGCCGTCGCCACCGCTGCCACCGGCCGCGGAGCGAGCGATCGCGAGGGGCTCGGGCGGAACCCGGACGGAGCGATCCATGGTCAAGGTGCGGGCGAAGGTCGTACCGGTTTCGCCGCGGGGCATGGGGCGCACGGGGGGACGGGGCAGATGGGCCGAGTGGGGCGGACGGGGCGCGCTCGGGGCACCGGCCCTGCCGAGTCCAGGGATGCCCAGCGATGAAAGGTCAAAGGTCTCGGTCTCGTGCCCGAAACCCTCGCTCTGGAACGTCCCGGACCGTGCTTGAGCGGGAGCAACGTACGTCGTGTCGACACGAGGCGGAGGTGTGCCAAAGGCAGCAGCGGGGCGCTGAGCCGACGATGTCGACGGGCGACCGACGCCTGTGGCTTGCTGAGGATGCACAGGCGGACGACCGCGGCCTTGTCCGGAGCCCGTGCGCGCCGGCTTCTGCTGCATGGGTCGCATGGTCAAGAGGAGGCCGGGGCGCGAGGTGGGAGGGGAAGAGCACGACGGGTGGCAATGGCGGCCGTCGCTGAGGGGAAGGTGGCAATGGCGAGAATCAAGCGGGCAGTGGTCGGAAAAGGGGGTGCGAGAGGGCGGGGCTTCTCGTTGGAGGTGTCGGGATACGCCTACCTGGTGGTGGCGGCCGTGGTGGTGGTAGCTCCGAAACAAGCAAAGGTCGAAGCGCAGCGGCTAGTCGATGCGACAAGGCCGGTTGGGGAGGGAGGTTGAGGGATGCCCGCTCTGCGAGCGCGACCCGGCAGGCGCGCCGAGAGGCGCACTCGCCCCGTCGCGCCCCACGCCGCGCACGCTCGCTGGGCGGGCCAGGCTCGCGACAGGGTGCGCAGCACTCGTCTGCCATCCGAGCTCGCCGATCTACGGGCTGCCGACCGCTGGTCTGGCGCGCGCCACACGGGCCCAGCACCCCGCCTGGCGGCCGTGGCCGAGCCTGGCGACGGTCTGTGGGTCCAGTCCGTGGCCTTGACCTGTCCGAGACGGCGTTGGCCAGGCGTGCTCGGCGAGCCAAGACGCAAAGAGCGGGCATGCGACGGAAGCCAGCGCGGGGTCCGCGAAGCGGCGAGGGGGGAGGGCGTCGGACGTGCGCGCGGCACGTCCGGGCGCGCGTTGTGAGAGGCGGCGTGCAGGCTTCCGCCGAGGCCACCCCACGTACACGTCATCAGCGACCCGGCACAGACGTACGCGCGCATTGCCCACCGACGCTGGGCAACGAGGCAGGGACAGGTCCAGGTACCGGGCCTCGAGGGCGGACGCGCGCGTGGCCAGCCAATCAAGAGGAGCGGCATGCGCGCGCGTTTCGAGGTGCCGCGGTCCGGCCTGTCCAGGTCTTGGTCACCGCCCGGCCGACCCCTCCCTTGCCACTTTGAGAGAGGGAAAGGAGGGGGCCGGTCGAGGGAGGAGCAGACCGAGGACCTTCGCTGGCGAGAGGCGACCGCAGCAGGCGGGCAGGCTCGGCGGGAGGCCCAAGGACAAGCAAGGCCTGGCGGGCCACCGGAGCCCACGCACAGCGAGCTGGCTGGCTGACCGGCTGGCCGACGGGCCCGTGGAGCCGGACAGCTGACTGAGACTGTGCCCTGCCCTGCCCTAGCCTACCTACCTGCACTGCCTGGCCTGGGCGTCCGGCCTGCCCCGGTCTATCTGACCTGGCCGGCACCCGCGGACACCAAGACGGCCAGGCGGGCCCCGTCAGAACATCGCACCTCGGGACCGGCCGCGTGGCGCTGGCCCTCTCGGTCGACTGGCCCGTCCTCGTGCGTCTTGCTTGCCTGTTCGCTTGGTAGCTTCCTGGCACAGTTGGTGGGTCGGTCGGCCGGCCGGCCGGCCGGCCGGTCTGCCTGCCTGCCTGTTGGCGATGCTGGCTGAACCGCGCGGCCGAGCCAACTTCAGCCACCTTCGCGCCGTGCGTCGGGATGCGACAAGTGGGGGGGGGGGGGGGGGGGGAAAGGTTTCTTTCG